CTCTATTTATCATGATTGGCAATTTTTTTCAAACAAAGCATTCCAAAACACTACGAACTAAGCTAAAATAAAATGAGAAATATGCAATAAACTTTCTCAGTGTTAGATCTATTGCTTCTTTTGGGTTTTTTAGTGTATGCATGCATATTTGGCTGTGGATATTCGTCACTGCAGGTCTGTCGCAAAGAGCGGGGTACTTAACAAAGCTAAAGTCATCATTGGAGTCTCGCCTCAACCATTCGTCTCCAAATATTTTGGTACACATTCACAGCAATAGTAAATTTTAACCACGCTAATGAAATCAAGAAAGATGTTTTTCTCGTCCTATCACAAGCGAAGGACAAAGAAAGAATATGATTCGCAATGAAGATTACCATATTTCTTGTTTTATTTACAATGTCGAGCTCAAACGTTACAATATTTCCTATTGTATTTACCTATTGTCTTTATAAAAATGCGAGACATTCGTCACATATGAACTTAAATGACAGCAACCTGGCTTATCATGATGCAGTGGACCGCAGAATCCACAAGGCTGAGGGTCGACTCCTCTGAGGAATCAGAGTTTTTCTTCGTTCCCCGCACATGACATGACGATAGAAACATCGATCTTCTGCTACATTTTCAGTGTTTTGTAATGATCAATACTTGTAATTAGTACGTTTTCTTTTGTCAATTGAAAACGGATCTTGTACGATTCTAAAACTTCAGAGAGAGGGGAAGAGAGGGGGAGAGGAGAAAGTGGGAGAAAGAAAGAAAGCATTTTCAGGTATCGAGGAAAAAATGTGTACGTTTTCGTAGAATACATGCCTATGTATACACAGTAATTAACCTCAAATAAATCTAGGTCGCTGGGTCGTGATCCACCGGGGCCTTGCAAACCGAAAAGTTAACCTGTATATGTAAAACTGAAGTCTCTTGCAATTGATGTAACAGTTTCAAACCACGAAATTGTAGTTTAGTCACACCTGGCCCTCATTAAAGATCTCTTATCCCTTTTTTTTTTTTTTAATATCAGAAGTGTAGGATCCATTATCGTAGCAATGGCGAAAAATTTCCACGATTTAGTCAGAGATCTGGAAGAACAGTGGCGGGGAATTTGGGCTGTTCATAGTGTTCAGAAGTCAGCACAAATAGATGTTATGGAGAGTTTCTGATCATTTTGCTATTGTTTAAATTTCGTAACTGAGAACCACCACGTTTACAAGGATGTGTTGGACTATTTCTAATTTGGTTTGTTCTGTGTTACGACTTCTTTTCTTTGTTCTTTTCTTTTTTTCCTTTGAAGATTTTTTCTTTAATGCATCTGAGGTAACAAAAATTTCTGGATGAGATTTCAGACCATTTTGGCAAATTGAAAAACGACAATCTATTTCCTTTAGGTGGAAATTTCAGTCTTTTTTTTTTTCTCATTCCATCAAACAGCTTCAACCCCCTTTCAAGTTTTTCTTAAAATTGGAACGTTTTACACGTAAAAATAAGCTTTTGAAGTCTTCACATGTTTAGGAACAATGTTGCTTTAGTGTTTTGATTCTTTGAAGCAATCTCGCTTTTTTGCTTCTCATGAAATTCTGTGTAACTATCAACGATTCAGTTTGGTATACCTGCCAGATGCTTTGAATAGACTGCATGGTTGAAGTCTTAAACATTTCAGAAAATAATAGTCCTTATCTTAACTCAGCTTCAATACATTCTAACGTCAAAATCAAGTTTAATTGAAAATGCCCTGATGAGGCCGTATGGAAAACAATCTGTTTGGGAATTTGTTTTCGTGAGGAAATACATATGTTTTTCTTCAAAACTGAGTCATGTATTTTGCTCATTAAAATGAGCAACCAATCTGATTATTTCCTTGTACCACCATTCAAGCTATCCCACTAAATCTTTTGACTGCCTAGCTAAGTCCCGCCTTTTCTGAATTTCCCGTGAGAAATTCGTTCTTTTGCAAAGTACCTCGTGGTTATCAACACATAGAATGGTGTTTACAGGTTACCTTATAGACAATTAGCATATCTTTGTCCAGGAATGTTATTTCGAAAACTTCAGCAAAGAAGAGTTTTTCACCCCAGTCTCTAATCATTTTTCCAGTTTTTCTTAGCATGTGAGGAAGACATCGGAAATTACGATGTAGTGTATGGAACACAAGGGAAGGCTGATGGGAGTTTGGCAAGGCGCTGTGCTTTTAAAAAAAAACCAATAAACTGGTACAATAAATAAATTCATTCTTGATCTTGAATCTGCTTTTAAGTAAATAATCATTGCAGTGCCATGCTACATCACAGGAATGACTGATCAGGATTATCTGCCAACCTACAACCTTAGCTTTTTAGTAACAATGAAATTTAACGTGTAAGAATTACAAGCTTGATGAAGATGATCATCAGGGCTTGGGTCTTTGCTAAATTTTCTGACTCTGGAGTAATTTAACATTGTGTAGATTTTTGTGGTCGATTGAAACGGAAAAAATGACTTTTGAGTGGCAGACGAAAGCGGGAAACTTGAGCCGCTTTTCCGTAACAGTTACACAGTTCTAGTTTAGAAGAAAACGTGGACTTTCTATCATTACAACAGAATTAACAAGACTGATCAGGATGCGCTAAAGGCAGCTTCATCAGAGTAATGGTTCATTAGAAGAAACATGGACTTTCTATCATTACAACAGAATCGACAAGACTGATCAGGTTGCACTAAAAGCAGCTTCGTCATCAGAGTGATGATCACCGCTTGCACTTTTAAAGAACAGTTTTTGAGGATCCCTTTTTCCTGTCAAAGGCAATCAATTTTATTACAATGTGGGTTCTGTTCTATCCTATCCCATGATTTTTAGAAGTTTTATGAATTTTATGTCTTAAAATGACAGGATAACGAGGAACAACGACTTAAGATCTCATTCACAAAATTGCTTCAGTTATGCTTTAGATATGGCTTCAGCGTTCCAGTACATCAGCATTATGAAACCTTCTTGGTTGTAAATCTCTTTTTTTATGTGTGGTCAGCCCAATCACAAATCAATCAAAATTGGGGCGAAACGCTATGTTTGAAGGATACACATGAGGCCAATACTAGAGCAACCGTGAGCGAAGCTAAGATCGTCGACCATTTCAGCTATGCTCAATTAAGGTGTAATATGTTGAAGGGAATTCATGTTTAAAGAAACTCTCACGTAAAACCACGCCAACCGCTTAACTGCAGGAAAACCTTGTAGATTCTGCTCTGTATTGCATTGACCTAAATAAAAATGTCATCGGCAAGTAGATTTGATCTCGCTCAATGGCATATCATAGCGCAACGCTTTTAGCCGGCAAACAGAGTTTTCAAAAGCGACTCTTTTTTTCGTAAGAGGCTTTTATCGAAACAATAGTACATATTCGTCCCTCCCATTGAAAATTCTAGTACTATTGTGTAAATAGCAGGAGAAAGCTTAAAAGGCTGGTTCAGGTCACTCATTGCTAATTTTTTGCAATCAGTTCCCAAATGGGTTTTTCTCAAAGTTTGATAGTCGCGTCGAGATCGAATTACATTTCTTTTTTCTATAATTAATTACTTACCTGACCTTTGACTAGTCTTGAGGAACCTAAAAACGCACTGTCATAAAGACTGAAATCAGACGAAACTAAGTAGTAGTGGAATCTTATCTTGTAAACGCTAAGGATATTTCGCAGAATTTCCTCTCTTGTGTTAGGACTGTAAGAGAGATGTTCAGCACAAGCTGGTTCAATAGCGTATCCTTTTACTCACTTCTGACTTTATTCTTTATAATTCAACGTTACACGTTCCGTTTTATGATCTACTTAACTTAAGGTGACAAAAAAAGCTGCATTTGTTAGCGAAGGACGTTCGCATCTGGATGTGTTAATTCTGTGTGAGAATCAAGACTTGCTCACGTTGTATAACAATCCGTGGGTACTAATTTCCCGTCAAACAATCATGCTACTCATCCCCTAATACCTGATTGGATACGACATTGTTGTTTACAGAGTCACGTTTGATTATTTTATGCCCGCTCCATTCCATTCCAATAACGAAAGAACGGTTTTCTTTGGTGAATAACTAGATATATATATATAGATTTTGAGGGCAGAAAAGCTGCCCAACAGGAAACCACTATTATGTCAAGTTAATGGTGATGACAGTGCCTTCCGCTTTTTCGTTTTTTTCCGTGTCTTCACATTGATTGCAAATACACAACTTAGAAGATTGTCCTTCCAAAGAAGACTTCTTTTTCTGAGATCTCGTGACCTCGCAACTCAGTTATGGAGAAATTAAAGATGAACCCAGTTCATACCAAGCTGGTGTTCTCATCGTTATTTCTTTCTTTCTTTGCTTCACGGGACTGATTCACGTCGAGATCGAGCTTCACGCTCATCGACAAATGCTTCAAGACTTGAGTCAAACAAAAGAAGAAAAACTCGAACTGCAAAACACAACAGAGGACGAAAGAGACAAAAATTCTTAGCACTGACTCAGATGAAAGTAGGTTTGACCAAATCTCTTTAATGGATACTCTTACTGAAGAAAACGAAAAAGGGAAAATGGCATCCAGCTCGTTTACCTGGGAGCATCGATTTTCAATGGAGTTCACGCCCGGACTGAAAGGGTTTGAGCGCAAATTCAAATGCCCATATTTATAGCATAGTTAAAGCGTCGAGCCACAATACTCCAGAGAAATATTTAGTTATGCGATGGTTATTAATTACAATAGGATATATGTGTGTGTCCTATTGATTTATCGTTTTTTCTTGAGCTTTACCAAAAACGTTATGCAGTTATAAAAAACCGTGATTAGTTAAATTATGTGGTATTTTGCAACTACTGTAACTGAAAATTCGTTGTGACTGCGCGCTCATGAATGCCTGAAGGGCATTACAACGTTCGCTCGTGCACAGACGTTTGACTGCTGTGTTCAATAAGCCAGTTTCTCACCTTTTTCTATCTCTTGGTTTTTTATTTAGCTGTTGCGCTGATCATCCAAAAACCCTCATCTGTTATCTGTCGCTTGATCCTACTCTTGTGTCGCGAGAAATTTTCATCGCTCCATAAGAGCAAGTACTCTGCTTAAAGTTAGAAAATTAACCTTTAGTTCTTGTAGTAAAATAAGTACACGCAATAGAGGAACACCTTCAGATACCTACGTCATTGATCCTGATGGCAAAGAAGGCCACCTTTAAGTGTGTTCTGTGATATGACTGACAAGAGCAAAGTTGGCGTGACCACCATCAGTCACTACAGTGAGAGCAGAATCTATGTTGCTAAAAGCCAAAATACGTAGATGGTTCATCTAGAGTCATCACCACTAAGCTGGCAGCACCTACTCGAGTCTCGCAAAATTGTAAACAGTTGATCAAGTTTAAGTGCAATAATGATGTTGCATTCCTCCAATGGCGTTATGCCTGGTGAGTGTCACGTGATGGACTAGATGTGCTCATGCGGAGTGCTGCGCTTGTATTCCAGCGGGAAAAATGGAATTGTTAAGTTTCATCATATATAGCTGTGTTGGAACTGTTAGGAACCAATCAATTTTGTAACCCCACATTATTGAAAAATGTTCGCTTGCAAAGAATCTTTCTTATTCTTTTTTATTTACATGTCTTCTTTTTTTAAGTAATAGGCCAAGGAAGTTTACAGGTGAGTTGAATAACTTCTGTTAAATCCCCTCAAAACGCTTCTTAATTTTGTGGTGCAAAAGAATGCTGTCACGGAATCCGGAAATACGCTTGCGCAGATATTCTGCTCGACAAGTTTAGGTTTGCGAGAGCGGAAGGGATTGGATGAGAAAAAAATGGACAGGTGTGATTGGCGAATAATTCATATGGCCTGGGGAAACACCAGAGCTGATTAAGAAAGAAAGATTGCTTTATACTTTTGTGTTTTTCTGAGTAATACTGTTGACGTAGCGTCTCCATAAGGTAATGTTAACGTGTAATAAAACGAAAAAGGTTTCACCAGTAAAAAAAAACCCTTGTTGTTTCAGATGTTGCTGTTTTGACTGAAAACTTTCATTAGTACGTTGCTCAACAATAACATGAGCAATCACCTATTGATGGACGTGGTGGTCTTATTTCAAAGTTCAAAGTTTAATTTCGTTTTATGGGTGGCTGTTGCAAATGCAATATCCCTGACATTTCACGCTTAATGGAAAAGCCCAGCACTCTTGTGAAAAGTAAAGAAATTGAATTTTTCAAGGTCTTATTCCCTTCGTCGCCAAAGCATGATATACTCTTCCCGTCCGATTGAAAAGTCTGGAGGTAACTAGAGAAATAAAGAAGTTCTAGAAGTAGGTTGGGGCCATTCAATGCAGATTTTTCTTTCTTTTTCTCAATAGAGTCTCTCTCAGAATTAGCCGCGTCAAAATCAAAGCAAGATTGTTTCTAAAATTAATTCCTTACCTGACCTCTAACTCTTCATCAACAATCTAAAAACTTGTTGAAATGAAGGGAAGGAAGGAATAGATGACCAAAACGCATTGCGTATTTTTTATGATGTGCGCATGTGGAGCAACAAATTCTTGTTCTAATGGCAAAAAGTGTAATTGTTACAACCGTCGCATTGACAGTGGCTGGAAAGAAGACAGCGGTCTATTGACAGACAAGTCTGTTCTCCCCGTGACCCAGATCAGACTCGGAGACTTAAATGATTCTAATGAAGAAGGATATCATACATTAGGAAAACTTAAGTGTTATGGTGTGGCATGAGACCACATTTTAATATTTACAATACAGCAGCTTACTACAGTGCAGCAAGTGTGACTGAACTTCGAAAAATATCAATTTTTCCGAATTTTAGCTGCATTAGTTTTAAATAAGGACTTGAGTTACCAAGAAATTTTAAAAACCTAGCTTTTCATTTCTTTAGCTTGATAGGGTGATCTTGACTTTTTTTAGCGAAGAAACTCCATTAGTTTTCCGACCCTTGTAATACGTCAATAAACAGGGCAGCCGGCCAAGGAAGGTCCGTTGCATTTTCTGAAAGATGACTATTCCTTAGTCTTTTTATAAGTGAAAGTATTCAAATCGGTGTGGAGCATGTTCTCTAATGCCATTCTTTATGTCTTTCCTGCCAGTGACATCGTTAGCATGGCGCTCCCAAAGCTCTGGAAATTGGAGTTACTTTTCTAGTTATCTCATAAATGTTAAGCATAGCATTTGGAATCCTAGAAATGATCATCTTCACAGAAGAGATTTCAATGCCATCAAAACAGCATTTTTCGTTATTTTTGTATGACCCTATTTTAGGCCACATTTTGATATATACAGAACAGCAGCTTACTACAGTGCAACAAGGTTGACTGAACTTGGAAAAAAAAAATATCAATCTTTCTAAATTTTAGTTACATTAGTTGTAAGTTAGGAGATTTTGAAAACCTAACTTTTTTAGTTCTTTAACTTGATAGGGTGATCATGATCTTTTTTGCCAAGCTGCCACGTGGTAGTCGGTCACATGTCAAAAGAAAGATCAAGAGTTCTTAATAGCAGATTGGAATATCCCATGCTACTAAAACAGACGGTGGAGACTACATATCATGTTCTGTAAAGAACTTATTAGGCAAGGACTTTGCTATTGTGCAAGTCATGGAGCTGGAGGAAGGAAGACTGCCAATCTATTATCCCTTATGATCAACAAAATAGCCATGAGAGAGGCTTGGGTACGAGAAAAGAAGCACTTCCTATCTCTTTGTCAGCACCCACTGAAAGATAAATATCTGAAAACGCAAAAGAAGAAGTGGACCAATCCGAAGTTTAAGGCCCCAGAAATCCTGAATCGTCATTTCTTTTCTGGTAAGCACGCCGTGACTCCTCGAACAAGGAAAGCAACGTCAATTCTATGTTACATCGGCGAATAATTCTTCTTAATAAAGATATCCAGAACACGGTTGCATCCAACCGATTGTGACATTGCCACAATTGCAATTGCAAATCCTAAGCTGACCGGGAAAGTTCTTATAGGAAGTGGTGAAGCTTTAATTAAAAAGAGAAATAAAACTTGACCAGTATAAACTGATACCAGAAAGCACAAGGTCACTCGAGGGTAAGAACTCCATACCCACGCGTAATATCTCGCTTGATTATAAATACTTGTGTTGCAGTTTGAAGAAGCTATTTTCATGCTTGACAGATCTTACTTCAGTTTCGCCTTTCGTTCCGTGTTATGGAAAAATCAAAGAACGTGTGAACAGTGGAACGCGGATGAACTATTGCGGGGGAGCTACGGAACATGACAATAAGTGCGCATGAAGAGTAACAAATTCTTGTTCTAGCGGTTTAATGTATAATTGTAGAGGCCCTTTCGGTGGCTGGAGAGAACATGGCGGTCTGTTAACAGACAAAGCTGTTCTGCCGGTGACACAAATTAGACTCGGAGACTTGAATGACCTGCACGAAAAAGGGTATACGTTGGGAAAAGTGAAGTGTTATGGTGTGGCTTAACGTTAAACTACGCAGGAGTTACCCGGCCTCGAAAACCAAATGTCCGTTGACTCCATAACGTTACCGCAGATTTAAACCTTTACACCCTCACACCAGCATCCATATTCTCTATACTCTTCTCTATACATTTCCTTTGGTACTGACAAGGAGAATTTGTTTAACAATCGTAGCTTTTCGGGTTGGCGATCATTTCTTTTCTTCTCATGATCTTAATGAATGATTCAGCAGTGTTACTGTAAGGAGAAATCACATGTTGGTCACTCTTAGGGTTTAAAGGGTTAAGTCGCATTTTAAATTGTGCACTTGATTGCCGCGGTTGGTAGTTTTGATTCGGATAATTTTGAGCAATTATTAAAACAAGCTGAAAAGCTAAGTTCAAAATTTCCACTAATTTTGACATCTCTAACACGTAATTATATACACCCCATCAGTGTTACCAACAAGGAAAAAAAGGTTTAAAAAAAA